TAATATGTTTAAAAATTTAACAAAAAAACGCTTGAAATTTGAAAAAAAAGAAATTTATAAAAATGTACTTTTTATTTCTAAAAAAAAATGGCGAACGTATATCTCATTGGAAAACTGAGAGAAAATCGTAAAACCTAGGCAGACTAGTTATTTCAAAAATCAAATACTCTTCTTCGTATACGCAAATGTTTAAAAGTACTTGTTTTAAAAGTAAAAATTTTGAAGATTTATAACTGCAAAATTTTTCAAATTGAATCAAAATTTAAAAAAAAAATTGTCTCAAATAAAGTTAAATAAAGCTTAAAATGGCACCTTTTCAACACTACTACGTTAGGTACGCTATGACACAATGTGATTGGTAGCACTAGAGATATACGACTACAACGACATTTATTGAAAAAATACGAAAGACTTTTTCGACTAACCAATATATTATTAAAATAAAAAAAACTTCCCATTATCTAAATCGGAAAAAAATTATAAATAAAAAATATATATTGTGACAAAAAAGCATTCGGAAATTGTTAATAAAACGCAAAATATTTAATTATTCATAAATTTTTTTTTGTGAAATATCATTTACCCGCGGAATTTAAATATCAATGACCGGTACTTTTTTGACATAATATACATATATGTAGTTTTGTCTGTATGTATGCCAAACAACTTCTTTACGCTTTTGTTTACTTTCTAAGCAAGCCGGCACTTGTTTACTCAAGTGTTCGCAATTGCGATCGTTATGAAAATAGATCAGAAATTAAAGAGAATTAAGCAGATTTCGAAGACGCTTCGCATATAAAGCGTCGACTACTGGTGGCACACGCACTGGAAGCTTTTAGCTATATAAATGTATATAATCAGATACATGGGTATATACCATAGTATATACAAAAGCACTTATGTATATCTAATAAATTTAAAATATATATGCATATATGTGTATGTACTCACCTGTACATTCCAATATGTATATATGTAGATACGTAAGTATGTATGACGTAAATGTAAATGTAAGCAAGCACTCATCGTATTTCAATTGTTGTTCAAGTGGTTCGCCTCGACGCTCCTACATTTATGCCGGCAACAGTTCACTTTTTCACTATTAGCAAACCTAAAAGATAATAAAAAAATATATATATGTAGCAAATAACTTAGTATGCAGGTACCGAACTTGATCGTTCATTGTTTGTGTAAGTTAGAATATCCGTAATGAGTAATGAGCAACTGAAATAAAGATTTATAGTAAAAAAAAAAAAATTATAATAAAAAATAAATCATACTTTACACATAAGCAAGAATGATGATGTAGTAAAACAATGAGTAGATATTTAATTAAATTCAAGGAAAGTTTAAAATTATAAAGCTACACAGAGCATAAGAGCGATATGTGAGCTTATGTACAAAGAACCAGCAATTTTTTAATAAATGGAGACTAAGTTGAAAATTAATAACAAACAAATGTATATATACCATTTACCATTAATCATTTAAAAAATTATAAAAAAAAAATTTTTTTTTAAATTTCCATTTACCATTAATCAATTAAAATAATAATAAA